TAGAATAAGAAATTAATATTGTATTAGAAATTAGATGGTTGGTGATCAATCATATATAACTTTGGGCCAGTGAGAGTTGATAAAAGTCCAAAAAGGACAGGGACACGGGTCCCTTGATATCCGGCCCGGCGCTGGTCGTCCACATGCAACCGATTGTAGGCGCTGAGGCTGAGGATCAAAACCGGCCCACTTCATTATTTTGTTTATTTTAATAATTTTAATTTGTTTAGAGCCTAAAAAGGCCCACATGTTTCTTAGATGTCAAGCCCAGAACCCGGCCAGAATCATGGGGTGCTGTGATCCTATGCATATCCGGATCAATCTTGTGGGTCCCTCCAGCACATCCCTCTGATCACTGTGATGCTGTCCCTACATCCCTCGTGATGTGTTTTTCTTGGAGGCTTTCGCGGTCCTGCACAATTTGGTTCGGGGTCCTTACAAGGGTATTTTGGTCTTTTTATACACGGATTATATAGATTTATCCATTAACAAATCGTCAAAATTGTGAGAAATGAAACCAAATTTCTTCACGTAATTACGATTATGTGAAATGACACGTGAACAACAAACACATCATTTGATTAGTAGTTTTGGTGAAAAAACTGGTACCTCTAGTATATTACTGAAGAGGAAAAATTAGGTTGGATTGTTCTTGTTACGTGACAGTGTTGAGTGAAAATAAATTCTAGTCTTTTCTTCTATTATTTTTGTATGAGTTTGAATTTGATAGTCAATTTATATTTTTTAAACGCATGCTCTCTCTCTATTTTATGTGAGATCCAAGGGTATCCACTGCCGACAGCAGTGACCAATCCCTTTCGCCGCGGGAGCTCTCCCAATTGAGGTAAACGGCTGGCCACGAAATGCGCTCCATTCCCATGGACGGGGATCGAACCCCCAACCTCATGGTTAAGGAATGAGGTGAGTTACCACCACACCACATCTCATGGTTAACTAATTTATAATGACACTCAATGCTATCACGTGATACGAGCAACCTCGTTGAAGTTTTAGAGTCGTGACTTACATGAAATTATGATTAAGTGTGTCTACAACAACTTCCAATGTTAAAAACACCTTCATCTTAATAAACAAAGAACGAAGGTCAGTTGGAGGGGTTGCACGTAATCCTAGTTAATTATTATTTAATAATACATATATAATTTGATCTCAAATCTTTATAGAGTCCCTCTACCAGCTTTGATATCTCACGTATAAAAGACACGAAACACATGAAGAGAGCTCAATATATGCAAAATAAAAAGAATGACACATAATGGAATCTAGACAAATTATTAATGTTTTTTAATATTATTATTATATATTCAACTAATAATTACCTCCTATCTACCCGACTCAGACAGATACTTCCATTGATTTACAACAATAATTGGGAATTTTAGAGCATAAATTGCCATGATTCTCTCTATCAAAGCACATTCTCTGCTTAATTTTTTAACCCCCATTAAAGAACCTTAATAATGTGACATGTTACATTCTGGTAGTTTCGACCTAAATACTTATTGCCAGATTATATTTGTAGTCGTTAATGGGTCGAAATATTTTTGTTTTTAGTCCCGTTATTTTGATTTGGCTAAAAGTCATTTTTGGTCTCTGTAGTTTGGCACTTCAACCACTTTTGACCATGTAGTTTCAATTCCGTCAATTTTGACCCTGTAGTTTCGTATTTGTAGCAATTCAATGACAAGTTAGTATTCATCTCAATTTCTTTTACGATGCAAGGGGCAATTTCGTCAACTCAAAATCCTTGAGCATAAAAACTCGTGTGAAACTCTCATAATTTCATATTAGGACTTGAAATTGGTCATTTGGATTTAGGGTTCTTCAAAAATTGGGATTAGTGGTTGAATTTTGAGCCCTAATATGAAATGGGGAGAATTTCATACAAGCTTTTACTCTCAGGGGTTCTGGGATGACGAAATTGCCCCTTGCATCGTTAAAGAAATTGATAAGAATACTAACATGTTCTTGAATTGCTATAAATACGAACTACAATGACAAAATTGACGAAATTGAAACTATAAGGTCAAAAGTAGTTGAAGTGCCAAACTACATGGACCAAAGGTTATTTTTGGCCTTTCGATTTTGACAATTTTAATAATGTAGTTTGGTTTAATTTTAAATCAAGTCCAAAGTGCAGACTTTGTCAATTTGGTTGGTGAATTTCAATGTGTTAATTTGCAACTATCACATGTGACGGTACTTTTGTCTCTCCAAAATATTTGTAATCAACCCACAACGTAGTTATTTTGCTTACCATTTTAGACCTCAGGAACTTAATTGCAACCTGAATAAAATTACATGATTGAAGATTTAAAAATTAAAATGATGGTAACTAAATGATAAATGAGTTAAACTACAATAACTAAAAGGGTAATGCTAAGCTTACCACATTTTTAACAAGAGATGATCATTTTCTCTCATAAACCTACCACATAAACATTAATAAATGACAGGCATGTGCTTTGGCCATCGCCGCACAAAATAATCAAGACCAAATCTGTCATTAACTCCAAAAACATTCCACCGATTGACAAATTCCCTTCACCAAAACAGGAAATTATCATAACTAAGGCCGATTATCAACTTATTAACAAACTTAATCTCCCTTTACGAAATGACGAATTTGGACCCTAAAAAATCAAAAACATGCATCAAAAGTGAAGCAAGACGGTGTCGTGGGTTTGCATGCTTGGAAGGAACCAAGGTGGGGGGGAGAAACCATGTGACCTTAAACAGCTTTTGTCTTCAAGCCACACCAGAAGACATACACATACAGATTTTGGATCATCACAAAACAAATAAAAGTTAGAGAGAGGGAGAGAGAGAGAGAGTAAATACGTCATTTCAAAGGGGCCACGTGAAGACAGAGCCAGAAAAAGAATGGCAAACTCGTTATATTTGCTCAAGTCCAAGGGCTCTCTTGGACCTCGGCATGCATATAAACCTACCCTCTCTGCATAGCTCACCAGCTAACACATCAAACATTTGCAGAAACGAGATAGAGAGTGTTTTTTGTAAAAGATCACCAATATGAGAGGGGTTGCCTTATTTTTGTCGGTGCTATTGTGCGCCACTTGCCACTCTGCCCTGTCCCTCATCGATGGTAAGCAAATTATATATATACAAATTCTCATATATAAATATATTTTATACAAATTAATGCATCTATTTACTTGTACATGTTTTTTCAAAAAAACCCAGATCAAATATTCCAAATTTTTAGGTTTTGAAAAAAACCCAGATGAGAATTTGTATTTTTGTAGTTGCTAATTATTAGTTTCTTCACCCTGCTCCTTAGTTCTTTGGCCTCATAATATTTGGTGCATAGGTAGCTAGTATATGTACGAAGGTTTTGTGAAAATGACCAAAATGCCCTCATCCTTGTGCATATAAGCTCATCTCATGGTTCTTCTCTTGATCCTCATAGCCTCATAGCCTCAGAGGAATTAGGGTGGCCGGAGTTGAAGTTTTTCAGGTCATCAGCTAGCAAGCAGCTCAAGTTTCAGCAAGTTTGCGATAATAATAATAATAATACAAGTGATAGAGAATTTGAATTTCTTTAGGGGTAAATGTGTAATTTCGGTTTATCATCATCAATCTTTGCTGATTCGTCAGATGGTGACAGGCTTTTGCTTGTTTTGACTGGGTTTCTCCGGTAGAGATATTTGGACTGGTGTGATAAATAAATATTCTGCGATAACGGTACATTAGATATTAACTATAGCTTTGCAGAGTGTACAGAGAAATCACATGGGTGCCAAGTGGTACACCCACAGTAACACCCACTAGATAGGTACCCAAAAAATTCAAAGATAGCATCAAATTTATTACACCTTTTAGCTATTTGACAGTAAGACCCCAATTTTGCTCATCATGCCTCCACAAGTGGTACAAATTTTCCCAGAAAGCAACAAATTGCACATTTTGAGCCCAACATGCCTAAATCTATCATATGCTTCCACTGAGAGAGTGTAACGAGGAGTTATAGCGAGGGTTATAATGAGTTCTGAGTGTAACGAGGGGTTATAATGAGGGTTATGATGAGTCTTTAATAACCATCCAATCACGTATAGAGTTATTATTGGACGACAGAATTGAACCTCTTAACACATAAGCTCCCTATAGTTTAAGGTACACTCGTCATTACTTGTATAATGTCACATATAATCCAATAATTTCATTGCAGCATATTTTATTTATTTATATAATTTACATTTTTCTATGAACCCAAATTCATGCAGGTTATTTGGAGAATGGGAATTTTGAGGAGGGCCCTAAGCCCTCAGACATCAGGGGCACAGAAGTGATAGGGCGCTATGCCATACCAAAATGGGAAATTTCTGGGTTTGTTGAGTACATTAAGTCAGGCCAGAAGCAAGGGGACATGTTGCTGGTTGTGCCTGATGGAGCCTATGCAGTTAGGCTTGGAAATGAGGCCTCAATTAAGCAGAGGATCAAAGTGACCAAGGGCATATACTATTCTATCACTTTTAGTGCAGCCAGGACCTGTGCTCAAGAGGAGCGTTTGAACATCTCTGTGGCACCAGACTCTGGGGTGCTGCCAATTCAGACAGTGTATAGCAGCAATGGCTGGGATTCTTATGCCTGGGCATTTCAAGCTGACTATGAGCAAATTGAGCTTGTTCTGCATAACCCTGGTGTCGAGGAGGATCCCGCTTGCGGCCCTCTCATCGATTCGATTGCCATTCGAACTCTGTACCCTCCTCGAGCAACCAACAGTAAGTTTTCTCTTATCATTTATTTGACATGTTATGTTTTTTAAATTTTAATCGTTTAGATTGACAGTCTGACAATGTAATATAATATATAACACGATAACGTGTAATTACAAGTACATTTTCAAGTCGGTATAGAAGACAAACACCACTTGCAAGATCATGGGTTTATAATTAGATTTTGAAATTAGTTAAATATAGATCACCTAGTTAACAGCTGTGTGATCATGAAATGAGATATGCTGGTGTCTCTTTTAGGATAAAATGGGTTCCCATTGTTGGACCACTCTATTTCATAGCTGTGAGGAGCTGTTTCACCCCATATAGGCTGTGGGGTGTGCAATTATTTGATGACACATGTTCTCTTTAGGCATACATCACCTCTCTCTCTCTCTCTCTCTCTGTGCCTCTGCCTCATCAATAGTAAAACTTTAATACCCTTTGAAACTGTAGTGATTCTTGGAGGACAGAACAAATAGATCAGACTTAGGTTAACTATTTTCTGTTCGAATTCACTGTATATAGATCTCTTGCTTTAAATTTTCATTTAATTTCAATGTCCTGCCCATGGACACTGCTCCTTTATTAGTTGGTTCCAGTTATGACTTTGGGGCCAACCACCAGTCAAGTTGAGGGGCTTCAAGCTAGCAATTTGAACTTCTTAAAGTACCAAATATTTGTTATTACTGATTGTATACAAATGTGTGTTCATCTTCTTTCACATATTCACATGTAACGAGAGAGATGTAGGGTTATAATGAGTTCTAAGTGTAACGATGGGTTATAATGAGGATTATGATGAGTCTTTAATAACCATCCGATCATATATAGAGTTATTATTGGACGACAGAATTGAACCTCTTAACACATAAGCTCCCTATAGTTTAATGTACACTCGTCATTACTTGTATAATGTCACTTGTAATCCAATAATTTCATTGCAGCATATTTTATTTATTTATATAATTTACATTTTTCTATGAACCCAAATTCATGCAGGTTATTTGGAGAATGGGAATTTTGAGGAGGGCCCTAAGCCCTCAGACATCAGGGGCACAGAAGTGATAGGGCGCTATGCCATACCAAAATGGGAAATTTCTGGGTTTGTTGAGTACATTAAGTCAGGCCAGAAGCAAGGGGACATGTTGCTGGTTGTGCCTGAGGGAGCCTATGCAGTTAGGCTTGGAAATGAGGCCTCAATTAAGCAGAGGATCAAAGTGACCAAGGGCATATACTATTCTATCACTTTTAGTGCAGCCAGGACCTGTGCTCAAGAGGAGCGTTTGAACATCTCTGTGGCACCAGACTCTGGGGTGCTGCCAATTCAGACAGTGTATAGCAGCAATGGCTGGGATTCTTATGCCTGGGCATTTCAAGCTGACTATGAGCAAATTGAGCTTGTTCTGCATAACCCTGGTGTCGAGGAGGATCCCGCTTGCGGCCCTCTCATCGATTCGATTGCCATTCGAACTCTGTACCCTCCTCGAGCAACCAACAGTAAGTTTTCTCTTATCATTTATTTGACATGTTATGTTTTTTAAATTTTAATCGTTTAGATTGACAGTCTGACAATGTAATATAATATATAACACGATAACGTGTAATTACAAGTACATTTTCAAGTCGGTATAGAAGACAAACACCACTTGCAAGATCATGGGTTTATAATTAGATTTTGAAATTAGTTAAATATAGATCACCTAGTTAACAGCTGTGTGATCATGAAATGAGATATGCTGGTGTCTCTTTTAGGATAAAATGGGTTCCCATTGTTGGACCACTCTATTTCATAGCTGTGAGGAGCTGTTTCACCCCATATAGGCTGTGGGGTGTGCCATTATTTGATGACACATGTTCTCTTTAGGCATACATCACCTCTCTCTCTCTCTGTGCCTCTGCCTCATCAATAGTAAAACTTTAATACCCTTTGAAACTGTAGTGATTCTTGGAGGACAGAACAAATAGATCAGACTTAGGTTAACTATTTTCTGTTCGAATTCACTGTATATAGATCTCTTGCTTTAAATTTTCATTTAATTTCAATGTCCTGCCCATGGACACTGCTCCTTTATTAGTTGGTTCCAGTTATGACTTTGGGGCCAACCACCAGTCAAGTTGAGGGGCTTCAAGCTAGCAATTTGAACTTCTTAAAGTACCAAATATTTGTTATTACTGATTGTATACAAATGTGTGTTCATCTTCTTTCACATATTCACATGTAACGAGAGAGATGAACACATAATTGTATACAACCGGTTACACTTGAAATTTCCGCGACAAATAAGACGATCATGTGAATTGTTCATGTGTCTGTGTTTGAGTCCCACAGTAAATTCTACGTACATCAAGAATTTATAACCAAACTCTTTGAAAGCAAATATCATCGATGAATTAATGAAGCGTCGTGCAGTGCCTAATATTTAGGTCACATTGTCTTTGGACATCACAGCTTTTCATGACCCTTTTTTCTCATTTTGTATTAGAACTGTGGGTCTTTCTTGTCTCTCCTCTGCATAAATAAAGAAAACAATCCCCCAGTCCTAAGTTTGACGCCCATGTAATTAAACTGTCGAAATTTGAATGCGAAACTTCATTCAACAACTTAGAAATGAATGTCACTAGACTAAACGGTCATCGATGATAACATTATCTACTTGAATTGCAGAGAATTTGTTGAAAAATGCCGGTTTCGAAGAAGGGCCATACATGTTCCCAAACGCATCCTGGGGAGTCCTAATCCCACCAAACATAGAAGACGACCACTCTCCATTACCAGGCTGGATGGTGGAGTCTCTGAAGGCAGTGAAGTACATAGACTCAAACCATTTCTCAGTGCCAGAGGGCAAAAGAGCAGTTGAGCTTGTAGCAGGAAAAGAAAGCGCCATAGCCCAAGTTGCCAGAACCATCCCCGGCAAGACCTACGTGCTCTCATTCTCCGTGGGAGACGCAAGCAACTCCTGTGAGGGCTCCATGATCGTGGAGGCATTTGCAGGCAGAGACACAGTCAAAGTGCCCTACGAGTCCAAGGGCAAAGGAGGGTTCAAGAGAGCCGTACTCAAATTTGTGGCTGTTTCTACAAGGACACGTGTCATGTTCCTGAGCACGTATTACACCATGAGGAGCGATGACTTCTCTTCTCTGTGTGGACCTGTGCTTGATGATGTGAAGCTGTTGAGCCTCAAAAACCCTAGACAATGAGGACCCAGAAATTAAGTGGTGATGGAAATTGGGTTGGAGGGTTTTGAGATTTTATATGAATTAAATGTGAGGGAGTGATGAGGCCATATATGATATACAATGAGGTCCTTTAATTTGGGTTGTATGAATGAACCAATTTGGTTCATGGTTATGAGTGCTTTTGTTTGTAAGAGAAGCTAGAGGCAGCGACTAGTGTGAGTTTAATTAGCATAATCCAAAAATAAGGATATTCATAAATATATGCATTTATACTAATGGGAAGATAGTGTATGATAAAATAGTTTGATTTTTGTTGAATGGTTATGTACTGCATGATCAAAATAAATGAGATGATAATGTTATTACTTATTTGCAGCACAAAAAGAATTCAACAACATTTTAGAGGTCTGTTCGTCTCGATGGCTTGGCACTCGCTAATCGCTTAAATTTTAAAAAAATTTAAGGCGTCATATTCCCTGAATATACAATCATATTGTGAAAATGGATCAAAACTAGTAAATGATGATGAAAACGCGTTGCTCATTCGATACCTATTGTCTGGATATGCACATTTAGGTTGGGAATTTAAATCGCCCAACTGATTGAACCGTTATAAGTTAATTCGGTTCATAATTTGAATTTTAGAAACCGATGTTTTGATTAAAACTGAAACAAGGTACATATATGATCAAATTTTTGAATCTTGATCTTGAAGTCTTTCCTCGATTAAATTCACAAGTTCCTAAATTTTTATTTCCCCTCACAACTTCGCATTATCATGAATGAATTTAACTCTTCTATTTGAGAAAGCAAAGATAAATTATTTTTATTGAGAAAAATTTTAAATTCCATCGAGGAAAATGTTACGGGCTAAGCCAGCCCATGATGAGTCCTTCTCTAGCAACTTCGGGAAAGGGAAGGGTAGCCCAAAGTTCGGGTCAGGTCAACCCAATAGCCCGACTCAAACTTCCAAAACGAGTCGGATACAACCCAGTCCAGCACACCGTCAAACGAGGCCTGCTACGTGTAAAGCGTGAACTCATCGTGCTTAGACAATCGGACGGTCCAGAAAGCTTCCAAAACGGGTCGGATACAACCCAGTCCAGCACACAAGCAAACGAGGCCTGTTACGTGTAAAGCGAGAACTCATCGTGCTTACACAATCGGACGGTCCAGAAAGCAGCGTTACTTTGAAGCTAGCTAAGAATTAGAAAACACTAGGGTCTCTCCGAAGGCTCCTACTATATAAACCCTCAACAAATCTCAATCGTTCCCTCTCTGGCTCTTACTCGTTTGCTCTCTGCGCCACTCACATTAGCAAGACTCAAATGGTAAATCTTCGCATCTTTCGTCTCAAAATTTTTATTTCGCATCTTTTGATCTTCATTTTGTGTGTTTGGTTGCTGTGAAAACTGATTTTTTTGAAGTAGTTAAATTTTGTTTTAAATACAATATTTGTGTGAAAACTTGCAGGCTTTGCCGAATCAGCAGACCGTGGATTACCCGAGCTTCAAGCTCGTAATCGTTGGCGATGGTGGAACAGGTTTGCCTCTTCTTTTCTCTATGGATTCAGTTTCGTTCATGATCTGTTTGGTTTCTGAGAAAAATTTCCTGTATTTTTCTTTTTGTCGTTCTTTGTACAAATCGGTTCGTTACTGAGCTCAAATGGAGCTAAATGCAAACTCTGTGGCCTGAACAACGTGGAGTTTGATTTTAATTTTGGTTATCGAGCTTTCTGTGAAATAGTTCAAAATTAAAACTTTATGCAAGCGTGACCTAAATGATATAAACTTTGGATTTGAGTGATCGGGAGTTGGCTTTGAATTTCATGCCCTCGACTATAATCTCGTATGATGTTTCTGTAGGGTGGTTCCTCGTAATATGGATTGGCCTTGCTGCAAATTGGTTAGAGCAATCGAAATGAACTATAATAAGGCTGAGTCTAAGTGTACAACTAAACCTTTTAACCTTCTCTAGAAATTTTATAATGGGGCTCCAGTTCTAGAACCTTGTTACAATTATTCAAATCTAAATGCGGCCTGAAACTTCTTTCGGATATTTTATTCAGTCAGAGCAGAAGGGGTGCAAGCACAAAATTTTCCTTGAAATTGATACTATAATAGTGAAATTAGGGTTTTGGTACTGGTGGTTGTATACATTTTTCCTTTGGCTTTGCTGTTTTCAGATTCTGGTTATTGTTTGTAATTTACATGATATGTCTTAGTTCTTGGTTTATGATACCATTGTTTTTTTTCCATAACTGAGTGAGTTTTATGTCAATGCAGGAAAAACTACCTTTGTGAAGAGACATCTTACTGGTGAATTTGAGAAGAAATACGAACGTAAGTGTCTTGTAAAGCATTTGTACTTTTTGAGTTTTCTATGTTCACTAAACTTTGTTGACCGTCACCTTGCCATTTTGTTAGTAATCTCCTTTCTGAAAGAGGATATTTAGTTAGTCTACCTCTGAATTAAGAAGAATAAATGTGTGAAGAAAGATCAAGTATTTATAAGATTTTGATGTATTGGACTCATCTTGCTCATTTTTAATGGACAGCAACTATTGGCGTGGAGGTCCATCCATTGGACTTTTTCACCAACTGTGGAAAAATTAGATTCTACTGCTGGGACACAGCCGGGCAAGAGAAATTTGGTGGTCTTAGAGATGGATACTAGTGAGTGTTTTCTTTTAAAAATTTATGGCTGAACTTTTTTTTTGAACTCTTTTATTTTGTATGCATTTTGCTTTAACTGTGTTGAGCATAATTGTTCTGATATCTACATGCTTGTCATCATTATTTGTTAAAACTCAATATTACGTTTGTCATTTGAATGGCTGTATAACATTATTCAAGATTCTTTGCCGATTTGAATGATTGTACGCTTTGTTGAACTCCCATATTATGCAAATCTTTTTGACATATGTAGCATTAGATTTCATTTGTCTCCCACAGTAACTACTTGGTTTACCTCTGCTTTCCTGTCTAATTGATTTATGTAGGTTGTTCTAGGCCATCATTTATGCTGATTACCCTCCCCAAAATATGATAACTGCTTATTATTCTTTCTGGGCAACTTTGTTCTAAATTACATTTTTGTGCAGCATCCATGGACAATGTGCAATTATCATGTTTGATGTTACTGCTCGATTGACATACAAGAATGTTCCGACTTGGCATAGGGATCTTTGCAGGTCTGCATGAAATTTTTTCTTTATTTGTTGTTGCATTGATTTCACTTGATGAGTTTTTGGGGGGGTGTGTTAACTCTAAAGGGTACTTGTGTTGTGAATTCCAGGGTCTGTGAGAACATTCCAATTGTTCTTTGTGGAAACAAGGTTGATGTGAAGAACAGGCAGGTCAAGGCAAAGCAGGTTACTTTCCACAGGAAAAAGAATTTGCAGTACTATGAGATATCAGCAAAGAGCAACTATAACTTTGAGAAGCCTTTCCTATACCTTGCCAGAAAGCTTGCTGGGTAAAATCTTTTGGTTCCAAATAGATACATTTTTCTTTAGACTATTGTAAAATGCATCTTAAGTTACTCTAGTGCTCTGTTTGTTGCAGGGATCCTAATTTGCATTTTGTTGAGTCACCTGCCTTGGCTCCTCCAGAAGTACACATTGATCTGGCTGCACAACAACAGTAAGCCTTCCCTTACAAAATTGCCCTCTCTCTCTCTCTCTCTCTCTCTCTCTCTCTCTCTCTCACACACACACACACACACACACACACACACACACACACACACACAAACATACGCAGATTGCTCTCCCACACATCACACACACATGTTATGTAGTGAAAAAGGAATAGGGTTATAGGAAAATACTTGCCAGTTTATGATTGGACTTGATGCATTTCTTTTTTTCTTTTCTTCATTACCTTACATTTCTTTTTTCCCTTGACAATACAGGCACGAAGCCGAGCTTGCTGCAGCTGCCAGCCAGCCCCTTCCTGATGATGACGATGACACATTCGAGTAGATGTGGGGAATTGTTGTCTTGGTGAAAGTTTCGTTATTAATATTTGTGGGTCCTTGGACCATTTTTTCTAAGAAAAACTTGTGGTATTGCTGTTTGTAAGTGATAATTTTCGTGGTCATGAGGATGTGAATTTGAGGATGCCATGTTTTCATGTATGATTTTATGTTGAATTGGCTCCCTATCAGCCCTTTTCCCCATTTCTTGTCCAGTCCATTATATGTGGTGCCGTTAATTCTATTCGCCTGTTAGTATTTTTATATTCTATCACAATCTCCATGGAGCTGTTCATCTATCCCCAAGATGTGGATCTTTTTAAAATTTTCATCTTTTCGGTTCAGTACTGCATTCGTCTTCATATAGATTGGGTGTATGGCAAAGTTGCCTTTGTGTATTTTCTGCATGAACCTGAACCCAGTTGAAACCGGAGGTTTAACGAGACAACGGAAAGAGAAGAAGGCACGCGAAACGCTTCTGACCCTGTTGTATCATGAATAACGTTCTTTGGTCCAGAATATTCTAGTCTTGCATAACTCCACGTGTCTCGAGTGCCTGGTAAGAAATTAAGGACTCTAAGGCCCCGTTGGGGATTGCTTTTTTTGGTCAAAAACCTGCTTCACTTTAAAGTTAAGCAGTTGTTTGGTAAAAAGAAAATATCCCGATTATTTTAAAAGCAATGGCCTTTTGACAGCAGCTTTTAAAAGCAGACTCTGGGTTGCTTTTCAAAGCTGCTTTC